TGGAGCAATCTAAATGTACGTCAACTCGGAAGGCCACATTATTTCCAGCCAGCCCAGAGTTAGCCACCAGGTTGGCTCTTGGAGGGAGAGAAGAGAGAAAAGGCTCCGTTTCTCTCATCTTCTTGGAGTCCTGCTGACATGTGACTTCCAGGCTGCTTGGTGATAGAGTTCCCGGTGGGTTTCTGAAGCCCAGCTCAGGCAGGACCAAGGTTGGACCACATGGCATGGGCAGAGCTTGTAGGGGTGGCCCTGCGGCCTAGCACAGAGCCTGGCACAGCGAGGGAACGTGAGATACATATAGGTGCCATATGAGATGCCCATGGGTGGTGGAGGGCCAAGATCAGGCCTAGATCCCTCTAGATCCCTCTGTGGGTGTTCTGGGTATCTCTTAGCCTCTCCTACATCTGAAAAGTGCCTACCAGCCTATGGGAGGAGGCCAGGCCTCCAGTGTGAGAGGACTTTCAAGAGTCATTCCACACAGAGTTGGGTGCTGGTAGCTCACACCTGTAATCCTAGTGATTCAGGAGGCTGAGGTCTGAGGCTTGTGTTTCCAAACCAGCTGGGGCAAGAAAGTCTATAGGACTCTTATCTCCAATTAACCAGCAAAATGGTAGCCATGGAGTTCTGGCTTAAGTGGAAGAACACCAGCCTTGAGCAAACAAAGCTAAAAGTCAGAGCCCAGGCCTTGAGTTCAAGGCCCAGTACAAGCATACAAAGACTCACTCGGATTCTCCACAGCTTATCTCCCAGAGCAGACGTGGGGTTGGGGACGTGGGGACACATGGGGCCAGAGGTTAGATGCCATCTTCAGAGGTATGTGGGAAGAGCAGGGTGGAGATGGGTAGAGAAACGGCGTTTGCCTGCCTGCAGTTTTAGGTAGGGCAGGCAAGTATCTCTTGAAGAGTCAATTTGAGGTAGTGTCAGGGGCAGACTGGGATTCCAGTCCTGATTTTCAGATGCCACATCTGCGGGACTTTGGATGAGTCATATGACCTCCCTGGTCTTCTCATATGTAAAAGAGGGCTGAGGTAGCCCCCTACCCTGTGGTGCTATGAGGAGGGAGTATGTCAAGCTCTAGGAGGATCTGGGAAATGGTGATTTCTTACAGCTGGGAAGTGCTGCGGTTACCATGCTGTGACAATACTAAAGCTAACTGCCCGGTCCTTGGTGAGTGCCAGGTTACCAACCTGTTCCACACCACACCCCCTCTCTAGGAGGAGGTGGGGTCTGGGCCACCCTTCCCTGTCTATCTTGTGCTGCCACCTGCTGTTGAGAATAAGAACTGCACCTTCTGAAAAAAACACTGTCACTGAGGGACCCAGGTACCTGCCCTTTACCTCCCCGTGCTGACTATTGGGGTGGCCTGGTAGGCACCAGGGCGGGGAACATGGAGATGAATGCAAGCCCCAAGTTCTGAGGCCACCATGAGTTTGCAGGATTCTTGGAGGCTGTTCTGAGTCGCCATATCCATTTTACCTTCTGAATATTCCTGGGATGGCAGCTTGCTTTGTTTTCCAATGCAACCTCTCTTCCGGATCAAGATTCACTTTCTGCCCCTTAATGGTACAGCAACCTCTCTGCCTCCATTCTCTTCAACATCACGCAGGCTTTGAACTCACCATCCTCCTGTCTCAGCTTCCTTAGTGCTGAGAATAATTATAGGTGTGTACCAGCAGGCCTGGCTCAGCTAGTAGTTTGTGTGTGTGTGTGTGTGTGTGTGTGTGTGTGTGATATTCCTGGGGCCTGAACTCAGGACCTGAGCTTCCCTCCCCTAACCTCCCCCCACACCCAAGGCTAACACTCTACCACTTGAGCCATAGCTCCACTTCTGGCTTTCTGGGGGTAGGTAATTGGAGATAAGAGTCTAGCTAGCCTGGGCTGGCTTCCAACTGCCATCCTCAGATCTCAGCCTCCTGAGAAGCTAGGATTACAGGCATGGGCCACCAGTACTTGTCCTCAGCCAGTAGTTTTTTTTTTTTTTTTAAGTAGATCTTTGTGTTATTCCTTATATTAAATCTCTGTGTGTCTCCACCATCCCAGGACAAAGTCTTTACCCTCTTGTCCAGCTCAGAAGGCCTTCCCATAATTCCCTGCCCACTGTGTCCTGTCTCCTCCCTCCCCGCCCTCCCCTCCTGACATCCCCTCCCCCTCTAGCCCTTGTGTGCTGTTTCCCTGCCTGGCACACCCCTCCTTATCAATTTCTCCCTAAGCCCTCAGCCTTGGGACCTCCTCTGCCCCTCTCGGGCTGCGCCAGGCATGTCTTCTCAGGCTTCATTAGTGCTGGGCCACGCCTCCTCCATGTGTCACCTTTTGTATCCTGGTGGCTTCCTAGGTCCTTTTATTTATTTAGATTTTTTTGTTTTTGTCAGAACTCAGGGCCTGGATACTGTCCTTGAGCTCTATTTTTTTTGCTCAAGGCTAGCCCTCTGCCACTTTGAGTTTTCCACTTCTGGTTTTCGGGAGGTTACTTAGAGATAAGAGTCTCATGGACATTCCTGCCTGGGCTGGCAGATCTTAGCCTCCTGAGCAGCTAGGATTATAGGCGTGAGCCACCAGCTCCTGGCTCCAGAGAGCCTTCCTCCTTGGCCATTGTCTTGCTTGCACAGTCTCTACTGGTTCCTTTAAAATTTTATATGGTGTTCTAGCTTGTCATAAAGAAAACTTTCCAAATGTACAAAAGTGTTTATGGCAACTTCCTGCCACTTGGATTCCAGCATGGCTTCTGGCCAGGTATTTTCCCAGGCATTCACTGACATGGGTGTAAAGTGGTTTTGGGGGAAGGGGCAGGAAACTCCCCATTTGGCCCCTGAAGCTGGTCTAGGGTAGGCTGGGAGGAAGGGGCTTGTGGGATGGCTGGGTGGGAGCTCTTTCTCACTTCTTCTGCTTACATTGCTCATGGCTGCCCCACCAGACTCTGGGCATTGCCCTCCATCCACCCCTCCCCCACCCCGCCCACCCTGGCCAAGAGCATTTAGATCTTATATATATCATTTATATACATACAGATAGATAAATATAGATATAGATTGATTGGTTGTGGGGCTTGAATGCTGGGGCTGGGCGCTGTCTCTCAGCTCTTCAGCTCAAGGCTAGTACTCTACCACTTGAGCCACAGCGCCACTTCCAGTTTTCTGGTGATTAATTGGAGATAAGAGTCTCTCTGACTTTCCTTGCCCAGGCTGGCTTTGAACTGTGATCTTCAGATCTCAGCCTCCTGTGGAGCTAGGATTACAGACATGAGGCACTGGCTAGATCAAATATTTTAATCATTAATATAAAAAATAACATTCTTCTCATTTCATATTTTGCTTTTCAAATCCCCAAAATATCTTCCTTTTGTTATCCTCCTGGCTTCACATCAGGCCTGAGGCCAAGATGGTTATTATCGCTGCTTTATAGATAAGGCACCCAAGGTTACTTTATGTACTGATTTCATTTTGTGTGTGTGTGTGTGTGTGTGTGTGTGTGTGTGTGCCCATATCAGGGCTTAAACTCAGGGCCTCAGTGCTCTCACTCAGTATTTTCAGTCATGGCTGGCACTCTACCACTTGAGCCATGCCTCCTGTTCTGCCTTTTGCTGGGAAACTGCAGATAAGACTCTCTTGATTCTGGGCATTGTTTTTGACCTCACTGCCACTGGAGCCCACGGTGGTCCCTGGTGGGAGGTGCCCACGCTCTGCTTCTCCACCCAAGGCCTCCCTGTCTCTTCTCTACGCAAGGCCTCCCTGTCCCTAGGACTTGGAAGCTGTGCCTCTGCTCCCTGTGGCTGGGGTCCCTTCCCCGTGCTGCTGCCGCCTCCCTGGCACCAGGCTTTCTGCTCCCATAAGCCCCTCTTGGACCCCATCAAGAGCCCCAAGATTCATGGTTGCACCCAGCGCCCACCAGCAGCTGGCGCTGCCAGGGCTTGGCTGGGAGCTCACTGTGAAGCCACAGGTGGGCGCTGTTCTCCGCATGGGGGGCAGACAAGGAGAGCCTAGGAATTCATGTCACCACGTGCCAGCACCCCTGAACAGACGGGGGGGGGGGGGTCCCCAGCGCCCTACAGGCCCTCAGGACGCTTCTGAGGTGTATGCTCTAAACAGATTCCTAGTGGGATTTTGCCTGCGTCTCTGACAGAGGTGCTGGGTTGACAGCATGCCCCTTATTGGCTGCTCCTTTCCTGACGTCATTTCCATGTCTGGTCTCTTATTGGTGTTTCCTGGCCCTTGCCCCTCCCGCCGACCCCCGGCCCCCAGCACAGAATCCTTGACTCAGGCTCTGCTCCCAGGAAGAGGGACTAAGTCAGGCCGCTGTTCCCCCGGACTGCCCCCCATCTGTTCCCTTCCCAGCTCTACCAGCTCCTCCTTCACTTGTTCACACATTGGGTTGGGCCCATGTTCTCTGCATCCGGGCCTCTGATGCCCCTGTTCCCATTCACCTTGCACGGATACAGGGAAGGAAAGATTTAAAAAGCAAAAAACAAAAAACCCACCTAACTGACATTCCTATGACACGCAGCTCCAATCCAGCCACCCTATGCTGACCCCAAGCCTGTCCAAATGCAGGGCCTGCGCTAACTGCGTCTAGAACAATTGCAAATGAGGCAGCTTCATGGTTAGAAAGTCCGTTCAAGCCAGGCACCGACGGCTCACGCCTGTAATCCTAGCTTCTCAGGAAGCGGAGAGCTGAGGATTGTGGTTCAAAGCCAGCCCAGGCAGGAAAGTTCCTGAGATTCGTATTCCAATTAATCACAGGAAAAAAAAAAAAAACAAACAAACCTGGACGTGGCATGGTGGCTCAAGGGGTAGTGTGCTAGCCTTGAGCAAAAAAAAAAAAAAAAAAAAAATGCTCAGGAGACAGCATCCAGGTCATGAGCTCAAGCCCCAGGAAACACACACACACACACACACACACACACACACACACACACACACAGACGTCCATTCAATATCAGCAAAAATAGAATTTAATCTTGCTCAAGTCTGGGCAGCCAGTCCTTCTGGGGGGATGACCACCCACAGTCCCTGACAGAGAACCCCTGTTCTCTCCACAGAGCCCTGACGCTGTCATCGCCAGGCAGAGGGAGGGGGGGCAGGGGACAAAGGACAGGGGACACTTCGTTGTTGCAGAGGGGTGGCCGTTCATATGTGCAGGGCAGCGAGCACTGTCCACACAGCTACTTCCTCCTCTTCCTCCGGATCTGTCCCTGCTGGCGCAGCAGCAGCCCACCCTGAGCTCTGCTCCCAAGTCAGCCAGAAAGTTCTTTGGGCTCCTGGCCCAGGAAGGGCTGGCCTAGAATACCTTCTGGGGCACACAGCCCTCCAGCTCCAGCAGCTCTGGCCATCCCTCATATTTGTTGGTGTCTGGGCTATTCTTCAAGAACTAGAGAGGAGAGAGAGGAAGATGTAGACAATGGCAGAGGCTGGCATTTGCCTGGCTTCTCAACACTTCAATGGATCCCTTGCTTCATCCTCACCACAGCTGCGTATCACAGATAGGGGAAACAGAGGCTCAGAGGGGAGCTACAACTTCTCCAGAGTCTAAGAAATGGGATTAGAGCTCAGTTATGGTTGGTTAGGCTCTGTATGTGTGTGTGTGTGTGTGTGTGTATGTGTGTGTGTGTGTGTGTGAGAGAGAGAGAGAGAGAGAGAGAGAGAGAGAAAGTTAGCTTGTGCTACATCATCTTTCTCTTCCCTCTAGGATACCCCCAGTAGCAATAGTAGCCTGAAAAGAAGAAAAAGACTAGCAATTCGTGAACACTGTTGGATGTCTGGCATAATCCTGAACTCTCTTATATGTTTAATCGGCACAGTGGTTCCAGGAGGTACAAACCGTGCCCACTGCATTATACAAATGGGGAAACTGAGGCCCAGAGAGCCTAAAGTCACTGCCCGTGGTCCTCTGGCAGAGAGGTAGCAGAACCCCTGTGAAATATCAACTCATTACTGCCAAGAAATCCAGACAGAGAACAAAACCAGGTTGTATTTTAAATGCTGGCTCAGGCTTAGTTTATGACACACACACACACACACACACACACACACACACACACACACACACTGAAATAATTGAGCAATGAGGAAACAAAAGATAAATTCTCCAAGCTGCTTCCCTAAGGCCCAGTTTCCTGTGTGTGGGGATATGGCAGCTTGGTCCTGCGAGGGGCTTGGCTACTTCTGATAAGTCTAGACCTTTAGCTAACAAGGAGGAAGAGCACCTGCCCGGCCTGTACAGCTTCGGCCTCAGCCTCTTCCCAGACTCTTGTCCTGGGGTCTCATGGATGCACCATCTTGAGTCACAGTGAAGGCCAGTGGTGGTCCTCGCTACCCCCCACCTCTGGCTGACAGGGAGGCAGCCAGGAACTTACCTGCTCAAAGGGGCTTTTGTTCTTGAGGTCTCTGGCCCCTAAGAAGACCCAGCTATCCCGGAAGCCCAGATTCTTGGCATAGACGCTCCCCAAGTTGGAGAAGAGCTTCCTGATTTCGTCATTCATTCTGGAGAGGAGCAGAGGACATCGACAAAAGGGAGAGGGAGGGGGTGAGCTCAGGGACACCACCTGCTGTAGGAACCCCTGGCCCCCAGATGGAGCCCTGAGTTCATGGGGGTAAAGGAAGGACCAGGAGACTCATTCTAGGTGTCCTTGCTCAGGGTACAGCTGGAGAGGCACAACGCCAGCACTGCTCTGTTTATAGTGATCATACAAGTTCCTCAACAAACACAGGGTATTACCAGGAAGCAGCTCCCCTCCCTTGATGTAAGTGTTGTAAGGATTTTAGTATTAGCATGGTTGTATTACAGTAGGATGGGTTGTGTAAAGTGCATTGTTAGGCATTTACTTAACAGGTGAATATGATAAAGTGTATTTGCACACGCTCAGAGGGCTGCAGTGTCACTACACAGCCTAGCTTTGTGGGACCGCGTTGCATGCAGTTCACTGTTGCATAACGAACTGAGGTCGTACATCTCATGACTGGACATAGTTATTTTTTCTCACTTCACTCTAGAGGTTGAATATTCTTCCAGGTAGATGTTTTCCACGTCATTTGTGTGTGTGTGTGTGTGTGTGGGGGGGGTTATGGATGGGTAGTACTGGGGCTTGAACTCAGAGCCTTGTACTCTTGCTTGCCTTTCTGCTTTCTTGGATAGTGCTGTATCACTTGAGTCTTGCCTCCAGCCTGACATTTGCTGGTTAACTGGAGTCTTGTGGACTTTGTTGTTGTTGTTTTATTTTCTGCTTAAGCTGCCTTTGAATCTCAATCCTCTGGCTCTCAGCCTCTTGAGTAGCTGGGATTACAGAGAGAGCTGATACCTGGCTTTGTTGTTTTTGATGCCTGCCTGCCTGCTTTTCTTTCTTTATCTCTTTCTTTCTTTCTTTCTTTCTTTTCTTTCTTCCTTTTGGTTCAGTTGTTGGGACAGAGCCGGGGCGCTGTCCCTGAGCAATTCAGCTCAAGGCTTAGTGCTCTACCACTTTGAACCACAGCTCCACTTCTGGTTTTCTAGTGGTTTATTGGAGATAAGTGTCTCACAGACTTTCCTGCCCTGGCTGGCTTTGAACCATGAGCCTCAGATCTTAGCCTCCTGAATAAATAGGATTACAGGTGTGAGCCACTGGAACCCAGCTAGTTTATCACTACTTTGATGGAAACTGCGAAGAATCTGTCAGAACATCTCTTTGCACACTCACCCGCTGATTTCTTTAGGATCAGTTGCCAGAGGTCTGGCAGAGGTGGTAAAGGGTGTGCAGGTGTATATAGATATTTGGTGTGCATCACACCGGGGAGCCAGCAGGTGGCGTTGCCCACTTACTTGGTCCCTGGGTCATCATAGGAGGCCACCAGCACCAGCACACCCTCCCGGATTTCTACAAGGAATTTCTGTAGGAGTTTGGGATCTGAGGAGGGGAAAAAAGGGTTGTTACTCAGGGGAAGTGGCTGCTGCTCATTCTCATTTTCTTGTGCTGTCCGGAGGCCGGCAGGCTCGTACCATGCTCAGAATCCACGGGAACATCCTGGGCTCTGCCCAGCCTTGACCTTTTCCTCACAGGTCACTGCTCACATTGTGTTATACTGACTTAGAGGATGTACCAGGTGGCCGTGAACAATTAAAACCCCTAGAACAGAGCCCCAATGTCCTACCCGGAACTGTGTCAACCATTTGTTTGTGTCTTTTTTTTTTTTTTTTTTTTAAGTACTGGAGAATGAGCCCAGGATGGGTGCTTTACCACTTGAGCTCTGACCCCAACCCCACTATTTGTTTTTTAATGCTTCTTGAAACCTATGATCTCACAGAACAGAGAACAGGCCTGGGTCAGATGTGGGTGTGAGCTCTCTGAACTTTGCTGATATGTTTCTATTATGTTTATTTTGCCATCTATCATCCATTCATCCATCCTCCCATCCATGTATTTTTGGTCCAGCAATGGGGCTTGAACCTTTAGTTCTTGTTTGCCATTTTTTTGCTCACAGTTGGAGCTCTACCATTCGAGACATGCCCCTAGTTCTGACTTTTTCCTGGTTAATTGTAATTAAGACTCTCCTGGATTTGTCTGACTACCCAGGTTGGCTTTGAACTGCAATTCTCAGATCTCAGTCTCCTGAGTAGCTAGAATTATAGGGAGACACCTTTCTGGACCCTTTTTTTTTTTTTAGTCAGGTCCTTTCTGGACCTCAGCAGATCCTTTCCTGTTCCTGATTCCACTGTGAATCAGCATGACCTTGGAAGAGACCAGCTTCCCCAGCAGAGCTGAGTGGGGGTACTCGTGCGGACCTACACCCATCTCCTCAGCACATCAGTGAGTGAGTGTCTGGTCCCAATGCAACACTGGACTCTTTGGTCTGGTCTTTCCAGTCCTCCAGAATCCACTGGCCCCTGGAAAACGTCCTGGGAGGTGCTGAGGAGTCAGGATTGTGATTTTCCTAATAGTCCTCAGCGCCTGGCTGGTCTGGGCCATGTCTGAGAAATGTGTGGAACTTGGGATTCAGTGGGAGACTCTGTGTTAGCTTCCTTCTGTTGATCAAACCCCTCCACCCCCATGGACATTTCCTGATACCAGCTCCCCCCTTCCCCAACCATTGTACTTAAATCCTTGTCTCAGGATCTACCACATGGAGATCCTCATAAAGACTACAGGAAGGAATTTCAAAGGCTGCAGGATGACCCAGAGCCCCCCCACGCCTTCCCCACCAAGCTTCCCAGTGCCACAGAGATGCCTACCTCCAGAGTACATGTCGAAGGAGCCCTGTCTCAGCATGTGCCCTGTGCTTCCTAGTGGATAAGAGAGCAGAATGGTTACTTCCTGTAAATGCCACTCATTCTGATGGCCACTGTGCTGAAACCACAACAACAAACAAAACAGGATGAGAATGAATGGAATCGGGTCCTGCAGAGTGCATGTGAGACCAGAGGAGGTACCCAGTAGCTGCTGGGCTGATTCAAGAGCTATAAGAACATGTGCCCAAGGGGCTGGGAAGGTGGCTCAGTGGTAGAGCGCTTGCCTTGCATGCCTGAGGCCCTGGGTTCGATTCCTCAGCACCACATAAGCAAAAAGAAAAAAGCCGGAAGTGGTGCTGTGGCTCAAGTGGTAGAGTGCTAGCCTTGAGATGAAGAACTGTGGGACAGCACCCAGGCCCAGAGTTCAGGCCCCATGACCGGACCAAAAACAAAACAAAAAAAACAAAAACAACAACAACAACAACAAAAAGAACATGTGGCCAAGCATCCAGAATCAAAAAGAATTTAGCCAAGGGACTCTTGTGTGTGAGTTGTCTTGCCTATTGCTAACACGTGACTTACTGTGTGTGTGTGTGTGTGTGTGTGTGTGTGTGTGTGTGTGTGTGTGTGTTTCTGCTCAAGGCTAGTGCTCTAACACTTAAGCCACTTCTGGCTTTTATTTTATTTTTATTTTTTAGTGATTAATTGGAGATAAATGTCTTATGAACTTTCCTACCACGGCTGACTTTAAGCCGTTATCCTCAGAACTCAGTCTCCTGAATATCTAGGATTACAGGTAGGAGCTACCAGTGTCTGGCAAGAACGAGATTTTGAGCAAATAGAAAGATACCTATGGGTACATTTTAGCTGCCAAACAGTAATAAGGACTTTTTGTCATAATTGTCACCACCTAACTAGAAAATCTGCAACTTGAGCCTTGCAACTTTTGAGGGCCAAGGATTTTGCATGGGGTTCAATGGTACCCAGGAGCCCAGAGTGCAGTCACTGAAATTGCTTTTGCAGGTTTTGAGAAAAAGGCTCAAGTCCGTTAGGGCACCTGGTGAGTTGGAGGAAAGGCACAGTTCTCACTTCTCACCACTAGATGGCAATGTTGCAGAAGAGATGGCCCCTCTGTAGCTTTTGGAAGAGGGTGGGTACAGTGGCAAATGGCTGGGCAGGTGCCAGCAGGTTCACTTGGCAGCCCCTTCCAGCTTCATGGAGCTCCATGGAGCTTCACCCAAGGTCTTTGGAAAGCAGTAAAACTACTTTTGTGATTGTGCAGGTCTTTCTGGAATTGGTACGTGGTAACATACAATAAACTTTCTCAGAGGAAGCTTTGCCCACTAAAAGGTTAAGCATCTCACTTAAGCAATGCTTTTGTTGTTCTGGCTCATTATGTAGATGGGATGAGCCTGGGGCCTGGGGATGATTTGTGACACTCCCTGAAACTGTCTCACAGTACTATTTACATGCCCAGAGACTCTTCTAGCCTAAGGAGGTGCTTCACCTGAGTGATTAAGACCCAGAGTCAGCCTGATCTAAGTTCAGTTCTAGGTGATTCTATTGGCTGTGCGACCTTGGGCATGTTGCATAACCTTTCTGAGTCCGATTCTTTCCTGGAAAATGGAGATTTGAAGATACATCCATTCTAGCTAGCCACCTATAAGTGCTCAACATATTTTAGCTGTTACATTATTTAAAAGACAAAAAGTCATGGCTTGGTGAGAGACAGGGCAGGAGAGTTTCTCAGGTGTCCCTTGTTTAGGAGAAGTGGCATTCAACATGTTTTAGCCAGAACCATTTTCTGCCCTCACTGCCAGGAGTCATGGAAACTGAGATCTTCACTGTCCTCTAGGGTCTGGCATACATGGAAGGGTCGACCCTGCAGATTCCCCCAACCCCCAGGCTTGGCAGATTATTGTGACAGTGTTCCAGCCTCCCTGTCGCAAGCCTCTAGTCTGAGATGGAGGGAGGTCTCTAGAATGCTGGGCTGGCACCTCTGCCCTATGCAGAGGCCTGCTGTGTTGATCATCAGAGCCATACTACTTCTGCTAATGCTTGGTTCTGCACCTGCCAGAGCCGGCCTCCTGATCCCCAGGTCTCCCTGCTGCCTGCTTCCTCATCTCAACCCTTTCCTCCTCTCCCTTCTCTCCCCTGCCTCCACTGCTCTCTGAAGTGTTGCAGGAACCTCCCTGATTTTTCTCCTGGCTACCTGAGCTGCCCATCATCAACCCCACCTCTGGAACCTTCCCTGGCTGCCCCTTACATGCTGGCTCCCCTCAGTGCCACACCCACAGGAGCTGCGAAGCCAGGGCCTGCCCTTCTAGTTCATGGCTGTCTCCAGTTCTGGGTAGGGCTTGGCCCACGCTGGTTGCTGAGCACACCTGTTGAATGACTGTGGGACCACTCACCGTTCACCAGAGCGACGTTCAGGCCTCTGCCCACGTTGTTCTTCACAGGACTCATGATACTGAAGGTGGGGAAGAGAAACAGAGTGCAACTGTGGACTTCAAGTGAGGAACAATTACTCGGCTTTTGTCACAGGAACTCTGAGGGGAGGGGGGCCAGGTGGCTCAGGGCAAAAGCTCAAGGAAAACACAGGGAAGATCTGGGCTGTTGGTTTCCTCCTGGAAGCTGGTGGTGGGCCAGATTCTTGGAGCAGTTGTCTCTGAGCAGTGTGCTCAGAGAAGATTCAGGGCCCCTGTCTGGGGACTCCAAGGTGCTGGAGTTAGAGGAGGCCTCCTTCTCCAGACCAGAAAGTTAGTGCCATCTTGGGGTGGCAAGATCCCCTCATGACCACAGCTGTGCTCCTCTTGTTCCAACGTGTACACCCAGTCCTCTGGAAAGTCTATCCTTCTCTACTTGGGATGGTTGGTTCTTGGGATTCACCTGTTCCAGGGCTGGGCAAGCAAAGCCTCCTGGGCCCTTGGTCCCAGTGATTGGAACCCAGGGTAGTCAATGAGATTCACTGGGGGGCTGGGCTGGGCTAATCTGTCATTCCAACCAGTGACTCTGTCTTTTACTGCGCAGAGAAGTCTGTTTTCAGGAGAGAGAAATGAAGATAGAGGAAGTAGAGTTAAAGAGCATGTAAGAGGGAGCCCTCATGAGCTAGATTGAACTTCTGGATCCAGCTGATCCTGAAGCTCATGTCTTTTGGCCTTTTAGATACACGAGTCAGTAAGATCCTCGCTTTGCCTAAACAAATTGTATTTAAGTTCTGAATCTTGACTTTATAAGACTCATCCTTCCTTGTCCCCGGGCCTTTCCTATCATCTGGGTTAGGTAAGGGGTATACCATGGTTCTCCTATGTCTAGGTGGCAGCTCGGCTGCCAGCTTCACCTGGGCTTTTCATGCCTGGGTCTTGATCTGAAACTTTGTTTGTAGGCATCCCTTTCTCTTTTTTTTCAGAAGGCCCAACTTGGCTGTTAGATGGATCTGAGTTAAAAAGTCAGGAACTCTTACGTTTATCTTGGCAGATGACCTTCTCTGAGCCTCATTCTCTTGTTCTTTTTCTTTTCTTTCTTTTACTTTTTACTTCCTCCTCCTCCTCCTCCTCCTCCTCCTCCTCCTCCTCCTCCTCCTCCTCCTCCTCCTCCTCCTCCTCCTCCTCCTCCTCCTCCTCCTCCTCCTCCTCCTCCTCCTCTTCCTCCTCCCCCCCCCCCTTCTCCTTCTCCTTCTTCTTTTTCTGGTCCTAGGTCTTGAACTTAGGGCCCAAGTGCTGTCCTTGAGCCTCTTTGTGCTCAAGGTTGGCATTTTACTACTTGTGCCCCAGCACCACTTCTGGCTTTTTCTGAGTCGTTTATTGGAGGTAAGAGTCTTACAGACTTTTCCTGCCCAGGCTGGCTTCAAACTATGCTCCTCAGATCTCAAGCCTCCTGAGTAGCTAGGATTACAGGTGTGAGCCACCAGCACCTGACTACTTTCCTGTTCTTTACAGCCCTCTCCCAGTATGCTGGGGAGGAAAAGAGACAGTATATTCTGAAGGGCTAAGCAAGGTGGGGCAGGCTGGGCGTTGTCAGGATGATGATGACTTGTGCCACACACCTGTCCCCTGAACTTGCTAATGAATAAATGAATGGAATGGAGGAATGAATGGATGGAAGAAATGCAAAGCTGGAACCGTAGGCCCTCTATGCCTTTCACACCCTTCCCCACCAGCCCCCAGGTACTTACATCTCATTTTCAAAGCATATGGAAGGGCCCACGACGTTGGCAGCCCCACTGCAGATTTTAAACGCAAAGAAGTTGTCTGGGCAGGGCTTGCTGAGCCCACACTTGTTCTTTTCCACCCCTGGGGGAGGGAACAGACCAGCCTTGGTGGGCTGCAGCTTGGGAAAGGCCAAAATCTGGGTGATAGGACCTTTTACTAGTGCCCCTACCAACCCCATCAAAGCACACAGGAGCCCGTGTGTCTGGCCCATCTGGGATTACTTTAGGGGCCACCCATCGTAGCTTCAGTCCTGCAAGAGTGAACACTGGTTGGTAATACCAGGCACCACGAGGTAGGGATTCTCATTAGAAACTCCCTGGGGTCACAGAAACCTTCTGAGTATCCCCAGGGCTCTGGAGACAACCTCGCGGCCCAAGCCAAGATGTGCAGGCCTCTCTTTGACTAGATTCCTTTGAGGGAAGTCTCTAAGTTCCTCCTGCCTCATTTTCTTCATCTATACAATGGGCACTGATGGGCTTTTCCTGGTGGGTTCTTGGGAACCCCTGAGCATGGCTCAGTGGATTGGATGTCAAGAGCCCTTTACAAAGCCAGGGGCTGGTGGCTCAGGCCTGTAATCCTAGCTATTCAGGAGGCTGAGATATGAGAATCGAGGTTCAAAGCCAGCCCTGGGAAGGAAAGTCTGTGAGACTCTTACCTCCAACGAATCACCAGAAAACCAGAGTGGTGTTGTGGCTCAAACTGGTAGAGGGCTAGCCTTCAGCAAAAGAAGCTCAGGGACAGTGCCCAGGCCCTGAGTTCGAGCCCCATGACTGACCCAAACTAAAAAAGCCCTTCATAAATCACTGATTTACTGAGTACCCACTAAGACCAGCACCTAGTGGGGAATGCCCTCCTTAGAGCTCCACACAGCACTTGCAACCCATTGGGTACTCTGAATGCGGCACCATCCACTGAGGCCTGGCACCAGAAGAACACGTGTATAGGGCCCCAAGCTGCAGAGTGAGATGTTTGCGAGCTGGGATGCCACCTGTGCCTCCAGCTTGGAAGGTTCTAGTTTATCCTACTGAGTGCTTTTTAGCACCATGTGGCAGGCCTGTGCAAGGGATTAGCGAATGTCCACCTGTAAGGGACCCAGGGCAGATGCTTTCCCTTGGATCCTGTGCCAGGTATTGAGCCGCTCAGCCAGTGTGGTGTTGGAGCCACTTTCCAGGCTTTCTGGGTGCTAGGTAGGGTGATACGCACTTTATATTTATGACTTCATTAAAGGAACCCAGTAGCTGTCCTGCCTAGCTGGATGAATACATGGCCTTGTGCCAGGTCAGGCCTCGGGCTGGGCCGGATGATATGGCTGACACACAGAGTTCTCTGAGGCAGATCAGGAAACTAGGTTCCTGCAGGGAGGCCCAGCCCATTGGTAAAATAAGGCTGGCAATTTCGTGACACTTCTAGAACCAGGGCAGCCCACGCCCAGCTGCCTGCTGGTTTTGGCTGTCTGGGCTGACCGGCTAGCTGGGATGGTTCAAATGGATTGTCTAGATGGTTCTCTGTCCTCAGTGTCAGCATCTACCTGATGTTGCTCCTGAGCTCAAACCAGGGATAATATTGAGAGGGTAAAGGTAGGGACCCCTGGGAAGGACTGTGGACTGTGTCTGGCTTGCCTTCCCTTCTGCCCAGGCAGAATCCCCAGGCTAGACCCTCCCCCACTTCCCCCCCTCCCCATCCTGCTGATGGTGTTGGGTGGACATGCCACCTCCTCCCCGGGGAGCCTTGGAATCTACCTTATGCACCTGCTCTCCTCCAAGAGAGGCCTTTTCTCTTGAGACCAGGAGTGCTTACCTCTGTAGAGAAGAGGAGTCTGGGGCCCTGGGGCCCTGGGGCCCCCCTTGGAGTTTGCCCAGAGATTCATCAACTTACAGCTAAGTCTGACAAACCTGCTGTCAACAGCTCAGCTTAAGCAGCTTTTCCAGAATTGATTTTCTGACCATCCAGCCTTCATGGTCAAGCTGCTGGATGAAGAGAGGCGATGCCCCGGGGGAGGTAGGGAGAGAACTTAGCCACTTGGAGTCAGGATTTGCTTTCTGAGCTTTGAGAGGCTGCCTGCCCACCGCCCCCCCCCCCCCCGTCCCCCACCTGCCACCAGCTGACCTAAACCCTGGGTCCCACCTCTGTGGGGCTCTAGTGTTGTTGTTCAGGACCTGGATAGAGCCAGCCTGCTGTCATAGCATTGGATGGATGGGGGTGGGGGAGCAGTCAGGAACCTCAGCGGCTCCTCTGCCAATCTGCCGGGCAAACTGCCAGAAATGTTTTCCAACTGTGAAATTGGGGAGTTGGTTTAGATCAGAGTGGTCAAATAGTTTTTCTCTTAAATGTCAGTTTGGACCTACTGCTAGAGGCTTAATGGTGAAGCTTCTGAGGCTGCCTGTGGGCCTGGCTGGAAAGGATGCTGAGATCGATTGGTGATGTCTATTGTGGAGCAGCAGGATGCAAAGTAGCATGTGTGCTTGCATTTGCCATTCTCCTAGAAGATGAGATCTGAGTGCTGTTTTCCCAGATGCTGTGGTTTCTGTGTCTGTACCAGTGTCTGACTGGGAGGCTTTGGGAAGATGGCATTAAGGGCATTAATGGTTTGTCTTCTTCCTTCATGTAGACTTGGCTGAGCTACCATGTCTTTCTTAAGTCTGTAAAACTCTATCCTTGGAGCTGCATGCAGCCTTCTTCAGAGTTATCACCATGTTGGAATGGGGATTGGGGGCTGTGGTCTCTTGCTGAGAGCTGTTAAGGTGCTGGTCTCTGGACTGGCAGCATAGGGGTGTCTGGCCCCCTACTCCCCCTTACAGCTATGTGACCTTGGCCAGGAGGTCTCAGCTCTCTGAGCCCCACTTCCCTCATTTGCAGGGAGGGAATAGTTACAGCACCTACTTAGGAATACATGCAGGATCACATGAGACGTCTTTGAAGTTGGGAATACAACATCTGGCACATGACTGCTACCCTTCCAGAGTTCTGGCCCTATTGATTGTGTGGCTGCTTTTCCCTCCTCTACCCAGGACAGCTGTCAGCCACCTCCTCCCTGAAGCCCTCCGTGGGTGCCTTTCCTGGAAGCCAGACCACTTCCCCCTCATCTCTTGGCACAATTGCTATTTCTACCCCCCCCAAAGACCATCAGTGCCCCTTCTTGCTTGTCTCAGGTATTCCCAGAGTGCTCGATGGATCTCTGGCACTTTGCAGAAGCCGAGTCAAGCCTGAGGTCACCGTGGTAGTGACAAGTAACACAGCTGCCAGCTGGGTGGAGCGGCAGGAGGGGAAGAACTGGTCCAGGGCACCATTAGAGCTAAGTCCCTACTGGTGTGAATGGCTGAATAGGGCCATGCGACCCCAGGGACCAGGGGCTTCAGAAAGCACCGCTGGCCCTGGAGCCATGGGCATATGGATTTCTCTGCAAGCTGCAGGGCTGGGATAGCACCATGCTGCCCAGAGCAGCTGGTACGGGGACAGAGGGAGTGGTACTCACGTATCTCCGGAGGGGCCTTGCCTGCTGGAAAAAGATGATGTGGTTAGACAGTAGGTCTTGGGCCAGTTAGGAAGGAGATGGGGCTAGGGCTGGGGGCTGGGGCTTTACAGGGGCACTGCTGACGTGAACTAGCAGCCCTTCCTCATCTGGGATCCCTTACACAAGCACTCGTGTGCACATACCCACATACACACATGCACACACAGGTACGCACACAGTTCTATGCAAATGTATATACAAGCATAGATGCTCATGCTCATATGCACACAGAGAAACATACATGCACACGCATGTGTACATAAAGCACATATTCACAGACACACACACACACAGGCATGCAAGAGCAGACACCTACACATATACGGGCACAAAGGACTTTGTTTTTAGTCTCCTGGGGTCTGGTCTAGGGCTGCTGCTGCCTAGGGAGGACTCTACCACTCTAGCCTCACCCTTAGATGCCTCACTCTTTTGCTCTAGTTATTTTTCAGGTAGGGTCTCATGTTTTTGCCCAGGGCTGGTTTCAAACCACAGCCCTCCTACATAGATGGTACCACAGGTGCCTCTTACTGATTAAGATGGGGGGAGGGGGTCTTGCTAACTTTTTGCCTGAGCTGACCTCAAATTATAATCCTTTCCATCTCTGCCTTTCAAGTAGATGGGATTATGTGCATGAATGACTGTACCTGGCCTTTTCTCAAAAGAAGCTGTGTTGTGCTGTGAGCCTCTGGAGGTTGAACTCTACCCCTAGTGTGTGATGCTTCACCTTCCCAAACCTTCATTTCCTTGACCATACATGAAGACCATCCTCATTGGGCTTGGAAAGAACCCAGAAGAGCAGGATGGAAGAGGCCTAGCGCACTGTCTGACCCTAGAGAAGGCTGGAATTGCACAGCTGTTTGGCCCCTGTTGAGGTGTCTCTCCTGGCTGCCCATGGTACTGTCTGTGCTGGGTTTTTAGGTGTTGGTCCCATCCTGACATCTTATCCAGTGTCCCAGCTGTCTCTGTTTCTGGGTCACATCTCCCACCATCTTGGAGCAGGTCAGCAGAGGCAGCATTCCTTCTCTGGGAGTGCCACAAATCCACACCATCCATGAGCAAGTGAGAGGGCGGGGCCCAGGGTTTTGCTCCAGATCTTTGGAGTCAGAGCCCCTCCCTGGCTTGATCCTCCTGGGGCTCTGGGAGAGGGGGAGAAGGGCCTTTTTGGAGAAGCTACAAGGATGTATGGGGAACTGAAAATGCCATCATGCCTGCCTTGGAGAGAAGGCTGTCCTTGAAGTAAATTCTAACCTGTTAGGATATTTAGCAACAGACAGAGCTCCAGGATGATCAGTCAGGCTCAGGAAGCACCCTGGGAGGGGCACCTGAGGACCCCTGAAACCGGTATCTCTAGACTTCCCAATTATGTGTACCCAAGGCATCTTGTCTTGTTGAAGCCAGGTGGAGTTGAACTTGTCCTTGTCACACACACCCTAATCTGGAAAAGTCCAGCCTAGCTACCCAGGTAAATCATGCTTTCAGTCTTATTTCTGGGCTACTAGAGCCCTTTGGTGGTTTGGAAAAGCTCATAAGCTTCCTCCAGAAAAATATTCTTCCTCCTCTGGGGATGCTGAGTACTTCTTTCTCTAACAGACTGCAAGTTATTAAACACATAAAACAAAACAGACTGGATTACATAGGGAACCAATTATTGTTATGATTACCTATCAGTGCAATAATAACAAAAATGAAGATCTGCTACAGTAATGTATGTGTTTCAGGGCTACCATGGGATGTGGCAGGGCTGGAGGCTCAGAAGTAAGTGAAAGTGCCTCCCTCTTGTGAATGGGAGACACTCTTGTAAGTGAGTTTTTTTTAACAGCTGCCACTCAGCACACTGCCTGCCACTGCCAGCATGTCTGGCGACCTTGTCTCTGGTCATCCAAACCCTTGTAAATTAAGGCTCTCTCACTCAAACCATGAGCAGGGGACACCTGTTTCTTATTTGGGGGTCCCTGGAACCTTACACAGAGCTTGACACCTGATGATCATGGATTAGAGGTATCGATCTCTCAAAACCCAGGTTGTCGAGTTCTGACAGGACAAGAATTACTAGGGTTTCCTTCCAATGACTGCCCCTCCCCTTGGGCTGTGGCTGCAGGGGATATACCCTGAGCTCCATGCCCACCCTAGGACCCATGCACTTCTGGCTCCATCTCCTCTGAGCCAAAATGATCAGGCCTCTGGGGCTGGGGACCTGGTGGCTGCCTACCACCAAAATGAACTTGTAAGTTATCCCAACCTGGGGGCTGCGGAGGATGGCTGACAAGATGCAGATGTACGAGAGGAATCTCAGGCCCTCCTCTGAGGGACTGTGTTAATTACCAAGTGAGTGCTTTCTCAGTGCCTTACGAAGCAGAAAGCCGGCCTGAGTCATTGCTGATTATGCTGGACCTGGTCTCCCAGCAGTACAAAGACAGAAGTACAAATCCCTCTCTCCTTCCTTTGGTCAAAAAAGATTTGATTACAGAGATCTGGGCTCCCATTTCTCTCAAGGGGGAGCTTGGGTGAATTTACAAAATCTCCCTGAGCTTCTGTTGTCTTAGAGTACATGAAACCATACTACAGATCATGTGTGAGTACACTTCATAACCACACTACCAACCACTACCCAGGGTATCTGCACAGACTAGATGATGTGCAGGTGAAGTGTGATGAGCATCTACCATTCATTTGTTCATGCACTCATTCACGTACCCACATACCCATCCACCTGCCATTCCATTCACCCATTTATTGTTTAGTCATCTATCCTATCTACTTTACCCATTCATCATCTACATATCTCTTTGGTTATTTATCTGTCTACTTACCTATATACTTGTCTTCCTACTTGTCTATCTAGCCATCTAGCCATCATATACTTTTCCTCTTTCTGTGTCTCTCTCTTTTTTTCCTTCCTTCCTTCCTTCCTTCCTTCCTTCCTTCCTTCCTTCCTTCCTTCCTTCCTTCCTTCCTTCCTTCCTTCCTTCCTTCCTTCCTGTCTACCCATCATCATCCAACTATTCATCCATCCAACCATCCATCATCTATTCATTATTATCCACCTGCCTTCCCACTCATCTATCCTTCCATTTTCTTTTATTCATTATTTATTAGGCATCTACTCTAATCCAGAGTTCTACATACACAAGATAAAAGCCTTGCCTTCAGGAAAAATCACATTCTAGGATGTGGAGACAGAGAACAACCAAGGAAACCAATGAATGAACAGCAACACCATGGATATGGTGGGGTTGTGAAGGAAACAGGCTGAGAGGAGAGGTTAAATGAGGACAGGGGTCATGGTTGGAGCTGGAGTCTCCAGGAAAGGGCTCTGAGCAGGTGACCAGAGCAGCCATATGAAGTCTGGGAAATAGCAGGCCCATGGGGTCAGCCTGAGGAGGCTTCCAGGCAGAGGGGGCAGTGAGTACAGGGAACCACTCCTCTTCTGCCCCTTTCTCCTGCCCTCTGATCTTCTTTGGTGCAGGTCTACCTGCACCATGACCTTGGAGCACTTCTCTGTTTTCTATGTCTCCTGCCTCTCAATAGCCTGAGGCGCCTCATACCCTTCCTCATACCCTTTCTACCAAATGGCTGGGGTCAAAGGAACCTGCACACATTGTCACAGCTGGCTCATCCTGGGATGCAGTGCAGTCCCCAGCCCCAGGACATAGACCCTGGCCAGCAGGGGGCCCCTCTCACCCAGCCAGCGTGGCAGACGGATAGTTTTCCGGCTGAAGCTGGAGGAGTTGCGAAGGAAGATCCACAAGGCTACCAGGGCAAAGAGGAGGGCAGAGAGGCGAATCAGACCTGCAGGGCAAGAAGACCGTGCTAGGAGGTCACAGGGCCGGACCACAGCTCAAGGCCAAGTACAAGGCCACCCAGCAAGTCCACACATCAGTTCTATCCACATGCCAACAGTGGCACCACTTGGTGAGACCCCTTGTTGTAGGCATAGACCACACCCACACCAGGATCCAGACTGTGAGGCCACATGGTGAAGCCATGAATCATGTGATAGTCAGATGACGAGTACCACTGGATTCCCTGTGGACCCAGGGATGGTTTTCAGTGCTCTTTCTCGGCCTCTGCTTACATCCCCAGAGGGAATCTCTCCGGATAAGGCCTGGGAATCTGCAATTTTGGTTTGTTTTGTTTTTATGCCAGTCCTGTGCTTTAAACTCAGGGCCTAAGCATTGTCCCTAAGCTTTTTTTTTTTTTTTTTTTTTGGTTCCAGGCTGGCGCTTTGCCACTTGAGCCACTTCTGGCATTTTAAATAGTTAATTCATAAGAGTATCATAGGATTTTCTGCTCTAGCTGGCTTCTAACTGTGATCCTCAGATCTCAGCCTTCTGAGTCGCCAGGATTACAGACGTGAGCTATGGGTGCCCAGCAGAGGAGCGGGTCTGCATTTTTTATATACTCTTCCTCTCAGATGTCAGGTGAAGCCTGGGAATTGCTGTGGTAGAGCAGGAGGCAGTCAAGTCCTCTCCCCAGTCTATCACAGTACTGCATCCATTGCTCAGAGCAGACATTGGTGCTGTGTGACTCTGGCAAAACCTCAGCCTCAGCCTCTGCCAGAGTGGACATGGGAATGCCCTTGCCACTGACATCATGGTTTCTTAGGAGGATCGTTACCGTTACAGTAGCAGGCAGGCTTCCAGAGTTACTTGGGGGTCTGGGGAGGTGCCCCTCCACATTTTCCATCAACTCACAGCCACGACAAACAAGCACATATTGGACTTGTCCAGCAGCTTCAAGATAGGCCACAGCTCCCCAGCCTTCCCTCTCTCACAGATTGCTTCCTAACTGACAACCCTATAATCAGGGAACAATCTTGTATATAGGGTGAACATCTGGAGCTCCCTGTTCCCTTCCTTGCATTACAAGGGCCAGAAAGTGGGTCCCATTTAACTCCTCCCCTGCCTTCTCTATCCTCCAGGCTCAGGCCAAGGTCCTGCATTGTCCTCCAACTCATCTATCAGCATCTGGCCTTGTTCTCTAGCCCTGACTTAGTCTTAGGTACTTGGGGGTTGGGAGGGCATCCTTTAAATTCTGCCAGGTGACACAAGGGTTTGGGAAATCCCTTGTCTTCTAGCATTCACAGCATGGCTCTGGGCACCCAGGATTCCCCTTGGATTCAGCTCATGTTTGTGCCAGACACTGAGCAAACAGCTTTCAAATCCATCATCTTAATCTATCTTCAAACTAACCCTAGATGCTTGATAATATTGGTTACCTCCATTTTACAGATAAGGAAACTGAGTTATAGAGAGGCAGTTTGGTTGGCCATGGGTACCTGGCTAGTCAGTTGTAGAAGTAAGGCTTAAACCCTGAGAGTAGACTCTAAATCGAATGTTTCTGCCTATTGCCTCAGTTTCTCTGTATTTACAAAAGGAATACAATGAGTATGAACTAGACAAGTTCATATACTGTGCCCAGCCCTAGTGTTTTGAGGATTCTAGCTCTCTTTGGAATAGATATTTTGCCTCTATTTTCCGACCAGGGCTAGGTGTTCCCAAGATGGGAGTGAAGCTCTATATAGTTCCATCCAGTGTGGCTTTGGACAGTGGCTTCTCTAGCCCTTTAGACTAGGGCCAGGAGTCAGCTTTTCTTCTCTTCTAGGCTCCCCGCTGGATTGCTTTTTCCTCCTGGAATTTTGGTTTGGTTATTTGACAATTGCTATACCAAACCATTTAAGAGCTGAGGCTGGGCAGAGAATAATGTCAGAAAAGTGATTGTGTAGACGGGAAATAAATATGCTCACAAGTATAGTCCCAGTCTATTAACTAATCCACTTTACTGGCCAGCAAGCTTTCTGTTTATGCAAGTTAAAATTTTTTTCCCTCTTGTTTTCATATTTCCTACCCAAATTCTCTGTGTGAGGAAACTTGGACCGTGTTTACAACTCCAGGCAAGGTCACTACACTCTTCTATTCTCACTGACCACCGGAGTAAGGGAATATTCAGTACAGCAAGGAAAACAACCCTGGAGAGCCATTTCATGCCTGCACAATTAGAAAATAAACAGATCCAAGGCCACCATCTGGCCGGAACTCACCTACATCCACGAGCTCATGCTCCTTGGCTTTTCTGTCATACCTCCCAGGACTAAGTTGGTACTTTTATTTATTTCCCTTGAGAAACAGTATGCATAGTCATCATTTTGCCAGGAAAATTTAATAAACTTTTCCTTCTTTTTCTCCAAGTTGGCAATGAGTTCAGGTTACTACATTTCTGGATCAATTCCCAAGTGAATTTCAGAGACTTTAAGCAGCCATTGAATTTTGACCTACCTGACACTCTCATCCTGTCCAGTGATGGGAGGCGTGGGGTCAGTGGTAACCTGTGGAGAGAAGAAAATCAAATTGAAAACTGGCACTGGGAGACTGAAAATAACACTAGGCATTAGGGACAGGTGTTTTAACTGAGAATTTAATGCTTTTACTTGGGTCCCTTGCTACTTGTCATATGAACAGTAGAGCAACATTCCTCCTTTCCTTTCTGCATCCATCTCTTCCTACTCATACCCTAAGGGTTATATTCAATTCACCACATTTGGAGAAAGTCTGGCAGATACTGGGAATTTATTTGCTCATCCATTCATCCATCCATTCCCCTTATCTATTCATATATAATGCATCCATCTATTTGCTCATCCATCTATATATCCCATCCATCCATCCATCCATCCATCCATCCATCCATCCATCCATCCATCCATCCATCCACTGATCCATCACATCCATCCACTTTCCTATGTGTGGATTCATCATCTTCCCACTTGTCTGTCCATCCTTTCCTCTATTCAGCTGGCTGAGACATCAAGCTAGTAGACACGATAAAACCACCAGAGAGCAGAAGTTCAGGTAATCTTTGTTGATATATTGAAATGTGCAGTAATCAGAACACAACTATCACAGGTGCTTTTGTGTCAGGGGCCATGCATATTCATCATCTCCTTTTAAGAACGAGTAAAGAAGACTCACTATGGTTAAGCCCAGGACTAATTAGCTTGTGAAGGTGAGAGCCAGAATTAGGATGCATGGGTCTAGCTACTGCATTCCAGACCCTTCACACACAACTCTGCCAACAGTGGCCTTTGTCTATAGAGGAGGGCTGACATCAACATTTCTTCCTTTCTCTCTCCACCTGCCCTCCCCAGCAGGGGCTGGGTCATCTTTTCTCTCTTCTGCCTTCTGTGTTATCATCAGGTGCTGGGCAGTTACCAGTGACTGGGCAGTCCCTTAGGGGGGTCTGTGGAGCTGGGTAGGCTGGGGAAGGGCAGGGCAGTGGTACATGTGCTGGGTCCTGGGACCCCTTATAGACTGGTTCCTTTTCCTCAGGCCTTTAGCAACAGGTGGTTTTTCCTGTTTGCTGCGATTTTAGTCCCACCACTCTTCCAATCCCATTCTACCCCAGATAGAGTCTTCCTTCTTCTAAGAATCCATCTCAGCAGATGCCCAACTGCCAAGGATAGGCCTTGGAACAGGAGACATGACTTAACCCTGGCATAGCCCCTGATGGTCTCTTTCCATGGGGACACACTGCCCAGCCTCTGGGGAGCTTCCCATTCTGTATACAGCCCAGAGGCACTTGGGCTGGTCCCATCCTTCACATTCAAACCAGGGCCACAGCAAGTGCAAATCCATAACTTTTGGTTAGAAGCCAGCCCTCCTGACCATCTTAATGTTCTTATCTAGGGCCTTCCATGTCAGAAGTCTGAGCTGCCCCCAGGCTCTATCCACAGATAGGTTCTGTGGAAGTTTAGCATCCTGAAATTCATATTATCAACATTTTTTTCTCAGATACAAAAATATTGAGTGATCACAAATGTTCTTGGAGTGACCCATAGCCCAGGAGCATAGTCTCTGGATGAGACTTGAAGAACATTCTGTGGGATTCCCCCATGGGAGGAGGTACTGGGTTAGCTAGAAGCCAGAGGGAAGGAAGGATGGCCACGGTCAGCCCCAAACAGAAAGTCACAGAGCATGTGCAAAGCAACAGAGCTGATTAAGCCAGGGCAGAATGGAAAGGGTTGGGAGAGGCAGAGAACAAGATAGAAGTAGAGTCAGAAGAAGACAGGAACAAAGAATGACAGAGAAATGAGACAGACATCAGAACTGGTATTCTCCCTCAGCCCCCATACACTCGGTGGCATTCAGACACGTAAGAGAGACCAGGGGCAGAGATGGTGGGTAGGGTCACATATGGAGGCAGAGGCTAGCTAGCCTCTGGCTGTCTGGCACGTGCTGAGCAGTGACTTGCTGCCGGATGTGGGTGAGGAGAAGCAGTGGCTATTCCTAGCCACTGAGCTGTGAGATCTTGCCCGCCTCATAGTCTCCTCTCTGAGTTCTTAGCTGTCCACCTGATACCTGAAAGACTGACTCCCTGATCTTCTGAGTCTCCAACCAGCTTACTGTGGCAACATGGGTGCCCTGGGGTTGGCCTGATGCAGGGAGGGGGAGCAACCCCCTCCCCCCACCTCCCTCCCGAACAGCAACACCAGGTAGGGCAAGAATTCTCTCTGCAGCTACCAAAGCCTGGAAATAATTTCTTTCCTCCTTGTCCCAGCTGGAGATTTGTCACAACCTGTTATTCAGGTTGTAAAGTTTGACAGAGAGAGGAGAGAGAGAGAGAGAGAGAGAGAGAGAGAGAGAGAGAGGAGAAGGAAAGAGGGAGAGAGGGAAAGAGGGAAAGAGAGAAAGAGAGAGAGAGATGGAAAGAGGAAAAGAGGGAAAGAGAGAGAGAGAGAGAAGGGTGGGGGAAGGTGAGGGGGGAGGGGTCCCATGGCTCTGCATGTTGGTTTGGCCTGTTGGGTCCAGACAAGGTAGCTCCTGGGTGCTGTGTGTTCATGTGGGCAGGTAGATATGAGCCTGGAAGAAAGAGGGAGGGGGGAGGGGAGAGCCTGAATTGCAATGAGCTGACCTTTCCTCCCAGACTAGAGAGCCACTGACCACCCTTTCCTCCCCCCACTATGCTATCCTTTCCCATGGTCCCATTTGAATACTGGCTATAGATCGCTCCTGTTTATAAGGCCCTGACCAGGCCTGGTGCCCTACAGGCCCAGGACTAGCTGACTAGTAAGGAAGTGCTCAGCAAGTGTTTGGGGACTGAGGGAATTGAATTCTTATATAGTCTATGAAGGTTAGGGGGATGAAACCACCAGCTGAAAAAGGAAACGGAAGTTTAGAGAAGCCACACAGCCAATTGTGGATTATTCCTGCAGCATTTTCTGAGCATTTGTAGGAGGGTGGGCTGGGTACCAGGCACAGGGGGACGTGGCTGTAAGCCAGGCAGTGCAGTACCCATGGGATTTTGCACTTTCTAGCCCTTCTTGTGAATATTATTCCTCTGTGTTTGGAATACTCCTACTCACCCTAGCAGTCTCAAGGGAGAAACACTTCCTCTGGGAAGCCTTCTCTGGTCTCTTAAGTAAAGATTTCAACACTACATGTGGCCCTGGATGGAGGCATATCTATCTATCATAGGACCCCCAACTCTGGCCATAAAGGGGCTGGCCAATCAGGACTTTGTGATTTCCTTGTGATTGGCTTGGAAGTGAGCATGTGACCCAAGCAAGGGCCAATCAGCATTTTCCCCAGATGAATACATAGCAAGGGGGGAAAACAAGCTCCTTACCACCCTTACCCCCAGATGCTGAGCTTGATGTCCGTAAGTCTGAGCTGCAGAAAGGGGTGCCTTTCTTAGCTGCTTCTCAGTCTCCTGGGGTAGACATGGCTTGGTATGTGTTCTTGGGCACATGTCTCCAGGACTCCATTTGTCCCTTTGTCCTTGGAGAATGATGGGTGGTGAGAACTTGTCCAGTTGGATTTGCTGGCATGACAGCACATGCACATCTCCCTCCTGTTTGAGGGGGCCATTCACTATGGCTGGCCCTGTTAACTCCCATACAGATGTTTGTTCTTTCAGCAGAATACAGTGCTATCACAGTCTCTGTCTGCGGGGCTGTGACATTTCTTTACCTTTCTTTTATTTGGATTGGATTCAGGGCACGTTAAGCACGTGTTCTAGTATTGAGCTACTCTTCACTTGCCCAAGCCATTGTGACATCTCTTCATGGTCCTCCAGGAGCCCAGGTGTCAACTTCTTCATGTTTCCCAGAGCCCTCTGTATACACGTGTCTGTCCCAGAACCAAGATGGACTGAGAAAAGGTTGCAATCTCTTTGGAATTAAATCCTGGCTTCTGGCCCTTCTCTACAGTGCAAGGCCCCCCTCCATTAGGGTGCCTCATCCTGCTCTGCAATCAGCCCTGACTTTTGAGCCATCTTCTTCCACTGGGAGTGGCTCTCAAGGGTCTTCTTCATCTGTGCCTTGATGCAGGTAGTAAATGCTGCTGGAGGGACTTTGTTGGGAAAATGAGCTTGTGGGAAAGAGACCAAAGGCTTCTCCCTCCACCTGAATTTCTTCTTCCTTTTCACTTCGTGTGGAACATGTTTCCTCTAAAACCAGATCCTGCCCAGAGCCAATGTCCAGGCTTCAGAGTCTAACTAGCATCTGGAAACTCAAGCCATTTCTTCATCATCCCCAAGAATTCTGTAGGTTGAGTGTGGTCACCAGAGGCAGGGAGTGTTATCTCTTCTTCCAGGCTTCTTGTGGTTCCATCTATCCTTATCAGCAAGCCTGTGGGCAGGGAGCCATTGCCAAGGACAAAGTCTGCATTCTTCAGGTAAGGGAGATGGAAACCCCATTCAGGTAGAAACAGGGCTTGAAGGAGGCAACCTCAGGAGGAAAGAATAAAACTCAGGTAGGGAGAACACAAAAAGAGATACAAAAAGTGACGTATATGTTGACAGACACCTGGACTGCACACACATGTACAAACATAGATCAGGGGCTGCTGAGGCGCCTTCCAAGGCTCAGTCTCTGTCCAGGCCCAGGTTCCCCTAAGTTTCTTTTTTTTTTCTTTTTTAAATATATTTTTATTGTAAAAATACTGTACAGAGGGGTTACAGTTACATGAGTAAGGTAATGAGAACATTTCTTTTTTTTATTGTGAAAATACTGTTCAGAGGGATTACAATTACATGGGCAAGATAAGGAGTACATTTCTTATCAAGCATTGTAGCCTCCTCCTTTGTTTCCCCTTCCCATCCCATCCTCCCCGCTCCCCCCCAACCCTCCCCCCCACCAAAGTTGTAAAGTTCATTTTCCACATAAGACTTGTCCGTCTCATTGTTGCAATGGGTCCACCTGTATCCCTATTTAAACGATTTGTTTTTTCCCTTCCCCTCCCCAAATTATAACAACATCAAATACAGTGAAAGCAGGGCTTATACTGTGGGGGAGGGACATACAAAGCAACAAAGAAATAATCCTATAAA